GCAAAAAATCATATACGATATTTCACCTCTTGAATTAAATTAAGGTAATAAATCTGTAACAAAATTCGAAATTGCACAAATACACTATAAATGATCCATAAATATCAAGAACCTTACGTTTACGTAATCATAACAGCCAACCACGGCTTAAGGTGTTTTTGCATCAAATTTGTACGAGAGAGACTACTAGTTTCATATCCTTGTTGTGCTAAACTTAAACCTAGACATGAGAGACGAAGACAGAAACATATTTTATCTCTAGGCTTGATAGCTGGAAGGAATCAATTAGGACATGATTGCTCTTGTAAATTATACGTTGGTCATTCAAGAGAGGGAAATGCGTTTTTTATCTAATTGACATTTATTACGACTCTAGGGTGGTCATTGGTTTGTCCAGTGGCTACTCTATGTCCAGCAAGTGACTTAGATTGCTCACTGTCGTGTATAGCCTACGCTTCGGTTATTAGCTGCTAATGTTTCTCTCGGCATTTGCCTATCATTCTATGGCACGGCCTTGAAGTCAGGTTGATTTAATTTAGTGTAGTTCAAGAGCAGCAAAGTGTCATGTATGAACACGTTCATGATGACGAGTGTGTAATTAAATCATATCACATATTTTCTAGCCTACACAGGATTTAAGCGCAACGCCATTTATACCGAGAGACTCTGTTTAAGGGCAAAACTATAGCTCATAATTTGGCATCCCCGATTTGTGATTTCTTTACTTCATAGCCGATTAGCTGATATGCATTGCTACATTGTTGTCGTAATGGTTTACTATATATACATATTTGAACGTTGCCTATTACAACATAAACATTACAATATGCGAATATTTAATAATCAGCTGATACATTACTTAAAACACAGCTGAATAACATTGAAGAAAGTCTCGTGACGTTTTGTAGCTATTTTATTTAGAGTCTTTATTTTCATATGACTCCAGACAAACGGATGACTAAGCACATGCGGTGTTAAAACAAGTTAGTTTGTCCGGATACAACCACCGTATACCAGAAAACAATCCACTAATGGGACCAGGACGGTTCGGATACCCTGTATATTGTCTATTTTAAAGTAGCCGTTTCAGTTCTTAGAATTGAAAAGTTTCACGTGGTTTCACATAACAGCATTGTTTTACTTTCATAAAAGCACAGTTTTACCATTGACTATAGTCAATGGTTTTACTCAAACCAAGGCTCAATGATTGAGAGAGAAGAAGTAAAATTGTAATGATTCCAACTTCAACTAATCAGCTGTTCAGGCAAATTTAATTGTTCAGTGGTGCAATTAGTGTTTGGTATACAATGTTACGTCGCATCACTTGAGAGGCAATGAGAGGTTATAAACGAAAACACAACCTCTCTTAGAAGTTATGAATAGTGATTTTTAGTTGTCATAGGTAAATTATTGTACGCAACTCGCGTAAATAGTGTTAACGACACTCGTAGAAGTTTTTAAGGCACGTGCCAATTAGAACATAATTAATTGTAATTAGAAACATTGGAAAAATAACCCTTTAACATAGATGGTTTACTACTTAGCAAATAAGATGTAGGATTTGCGATACAAGATGCAGTCGTAACAACCCACTCTTACATATCACATCTGATCAAGCGAATACATTATCTCAGATTACACTGAGAACAAATTAATGCTGACAAGCTTAGTGTGGGATGGGCTGAGGTGGATTACAATTAACTGGCATCGCGGGCCCTGTCAATCTCCTCAGTGATGGACACTAATATCTGTGCCGGCCGGGTATCCCTGCATAGTACAGAATACATAAGTGGGTAGCTCTCCTCTCCTAGTATAATCAGAAGCTCACTGGTTCAATCCTTAAATAAACAGAACCTTTTAATGGCTTATCAAGCTGAATTGATGGTTGGGATGGTAATGTATGAAAAACAGCTGATCTAGTCAGTCATAAATCTGTCATCTCGTTCTGTCAATACTCACCTTCGATCTTCACTCATCTTCGCCATCCTGTACGCACCCTGGTGAGTCGTGAGTCGGCGTAAAAACTAATCCATTCATAATTAGAACTAACAACATATATGATTCAACATACTATATTGTAGCCTAATATATAACATTAATATATTTCCAGCATCATGATTCCATCAGTTTGGTGTTCTTTTGGACGGTTTCTATGCAACACTTTAAAGTTCTTTCCTTACGGATCACATTACGGCCAACAGATCGATTCTAAGGAAAGTAATAGTACTTTTTTTACACTGTATAGTTTTCAAAGCTGGACCTAACTGTCCCTGATGATTGGGCCAAATAGCCAGTAAATAATAGTTTTTTTGAAAAACATTTTTTAACTTTGTATCCCTAACATTCTTTGGTTGACCTATTAACCTTTAACTGTTAATAATCAAATAACTGGCGAGAGTACCGGGTCGGAAATGTGTTTCTTTTGACTGACTCCAGGTATGTCTTAACAAGCGGGCTGCGCCAAATGTGAGCCCGTGATTTAGGTGTGGCCTCGGACCCTTAATTGCAGCAAACTTTGGACATGTGTCGGACCTCAATTGACATAATTACAGGTCGTAATGTGTCGGACGTAATCAGGTTGATTTGTTATTGAATATTTGTGATGAATTATGATCCATTGTTATAATTGATTTGTGATTTATTTAATAAGTTGATTGGATTCAAACAGTGTTCCTGCAAGTGAAAAAATGTAGAGTAATTGTTATGACATGAAAAATATCTTGGCTAAAGGAGAGATGTTATAGAAGGGAGAGTTCTCCGTTGGGGACTAGCCCGTTCTAACTTATTCTCTTAAATAAAGACATTTTTCTCTTCATTATACTTTGTTTCAATAATTTACTCATTTAGAATGCTGCTTGCATAAGTAGGCCTAAAATATAATCGTGGATGTGCTGCTGGTCTAGTGAGTAGAGTAAAGTAGTGTGCAAGACTTTGATCTATTAAGATACCCGGATTCAAATAATGTCAATTGCCACTGGATATCAGCTTTGTGTTAGTATTATGACTCATTGGATCAGTATTATTACTCAAAAGGATACATCTCTAAAGCGAAGAGAACATTCTATGTTTTAAAGAACACCCTCCACCGAACATTGCTAAATGTTTTAACTTTGTGCTTGAATCAAGTTTGACTTATTTAATAAATATTTAATCAGCTGTAACAATGGATTGCCATTTTTTACTAATATTCAGTGGATGGGTTGAATATTTCTCCTGTATCACAAAATATTCACGGATAATCATGATACTGTACCATTAATTAAACATACTCCCTTAGTAGATTTGCCATCCTTGTGGATCACCTTAAGACATTTGTAATGGTAGTTCCATCCAGTACCTACTTAGGGTGTGTTTTTGTTTGCATTTTGTGTCATATTATTTCTGTTATTTAAAACCTTGTTTAACAGAATACAACAAGCTAAAATTAAATTATTCATAAATTATTCATAAGCAATAACTCGTCCTCGGGTTAAATAACAAAAAAGTTAAGGACAAATCTAAAAAAAACAAACTTCAAATTTTAAGATGGAATAAGAAGTCTACTTCTTGTGTTGGTTAGTCTATGATACTGTACCTAAAAGATTGTTGTTAAAATAATAATTATAAAAAAATGCAATTAAAAATAAAATAGATGTAAATATGATTTAAGACAACAGATATCATCTTTGCAATCATGATTAAATCTAGTTCATTCTCTTTGAACTAATAAAACAAAATTAATAATTTTTTTAAATCTTCCCCTATGAATTCATCTGCTATTTTTTATTACTTAAATTTAACTCCAAGCACAAATTTGCATTAAGCACTGTGACGATAAAAATTAAATATCAATGAGACAACTTTGTTGTCGATAGTTTTTAAAATAATAAAAAAGCTTGTTTAATTTTCCATCCAAAAATAATTTGTAACTTGGTTTCATCTGGCGTTATGATTTTTGAGTTTTTTAGTTAAATTGAAAATACATTTTTCTTGAAAATATAGTATGTTGCTCTCTCTACTTTCTGTGCTATAGTGGCGTCAGTAAGAAAAATCTGAATCACCAATTACGATGACAACGTTTCATTCATCATCAAAACAGCAAGTGTATGATGACTTATCAAAATGTAATCATGTAGTATTGACCTTGCTTAGGTCTGCACTACACGAGGTTATTACAGCATAGCCTGTGTCTACTAGCAGGATCTTATTTCTAGTAAAACTTCCAAATGCAGTGTACAATTTTGTTTATTATATTTCCCGCATCAAATAAGAAGAAGATTTGTAGCTTGACACTGTATGTTAGTATGTAGGTAGGGCCTAGTACGTATATGTAAATTACTTTTTTCAAACGAATAGGAATTATGGATTTACAGATACTCTTGAGCTTTAAAATTATCAATCCCTTGGAGGCGATAAATTTATTTTAATTTTCAAGAAATAGTGTCAATTGCTAACAGTCCTTATCCATTTCCCAAATTTTCAAAATAAGTTAGTTCATGTAATAATAGTTGAACACTTTGCTGCAAACAGCAAACAATTGCCCTCATTGGCTCAATCTAATATTTTAATATTATTGTATATTTACTGTTCGTTTAACATTTTTACTTAATATATTTACAACAATCGCCTAAATTTGATATGGAATAAAACCTTTATCATGAGGATCAAAAGCAAAAATTAAATAAACAAAACTAGATTTTGTAAAACACCTTGAAGCTGGTTATTAAATCATTATAAACAAAATCTAGTTTGAATTAATGTAGAATGCTTGGATTTAATTACAAATGGATTTTAGAAACAACAAAGCAAAGGAAATCTATATAATTAATACTATAACACAAAATTTTTCTTTTAAACTACTCCACCATGTCTTAACCGATTTTGACCATTCGCGTCTCATTGGAAAGAGCATGTCCCGTAGATTTGCATACTGGCCTTATTTGTGAAAAAGTCCCTTGAGCTCTGCCCCAGTGGCTTTTAAATTCCCATGTTATTCTTATGAAGAACAATTTGTTTACATCATGATCAGCTGGGTAATTTAATTGGATAGTTTAATTGGTATTCGTTTTTAAATAACTACTGTAATACTTTGCAATAGCTCGAATTCAAACAACATGTACACTAGTAAAAGATGATTTCCTGTTGAAAATACTCTATTTTTACTTCTTATGCAAATACTCTACAGTGAGAACAAAGTACTTCCTTAACATCTGCATTTTCACATCTCCAATAGTTCCAGCCTCAAGCTATCCACACAGCTGTTGTAAAGTCAAACTCATTTTCCCCATGTTTTCAAGTGTTTCAATTGCATGACTGACCTAAGCTATCTATGTTACAGCCAGGCTACTACAGAGACGCTCCTCAGTTTAGACAAGTGGGCGACGGCTCCCAGTACAGCCTAGAGATCCCACAAGTGAAACTCGACTTCACCGGAACCTACTGTGTGATCGCCCGAAACACTCATGGCGAGACCAAGGCGATAATATCACTCCAGATATATGCCAAAGGTGATCAATCTGTTATTTCACTCCATTTCTAGTTAGTTTTCAGAGGAAGCACTCATCAAGTATCAATGGTTCATCAAGTTGATGACTCCCAAAAGATTGCAATACAATTTTTTTTCCCCTACAAAAAAGATGTTCATTCAGAGTGGTTGTTTTTAGGAGGAAGTAGTAGAATCTCTGTTCTTTTCTTTTACTACTTCCTTTTAAGAAGACTCATTGTAATAGTGAATTGTAAAATTGTTTGTGTGTTTAACTTTTGTGTGCTATCAACTGCCTGGAATCTTAGGGTTAGTAGTTGTGTATCCCATTCCTTCTTCAATGACCAGTCCAGTGCTTTAATTGTGTTAAGAATATATCCAAGAACCTAGGGATATTTGTAACTTTGTCTTACTATACTTTTTATTGTTTATTATTTTCATACTTAAGGATAAAACTTAGTGTAAAATTTTTAAACTCTATTCATAAAAAAAGTTGTTTTCATGTTGATGAATTAAGAAAGCTCAACAGACCAACTGAGTTTTGAGTCTTCTCCGCCATGCAACCTGGGTCGGTCTGCTCCTAGTAGTTTAGTTGGCCTTGTGTTTAAACATAATTTTTTATATGTTTTATTTGTCTTGTCATGTCAGTATGTGTGTGTTAACAAAAAGTCAGTGATACAAATAACTCTCAATTTGATGTCGGATTTGACAATGAGTTACTCAACTCAAAATTATAGTAATCCACTAGATAAGAGACTGAAGACAGACATGGTACGTCAATTCTTTTATTTTTAAATTTATCAGTCATAGTGGAAATAATGGTAAAATTTAATTTTACATCTAATTTTGGTGGTAATGACATTGTTAAACCAACGTACGGAGATATTTGATATATTTTTTTTTTAGAGTCCTGCAAGGTACTGAGCACTACTGTATTTAGTATAGGATAACTAACAATACTGTACTTAAAAATTATATCATTAGATAATTATTTTTAAAGAAATGCACACCTTCTTTATGTTCCTGCCTGAATTTTGTCAGCTTTCAGCTATTCACTGGAACAAAGCACTTGGTTCACTCATAATTTATAATCAGGTTACATTTCCTAACCCATGCCAAAGAGATAATTGTAATGACAATTTATAATTGGATAATTTTACTTTAAACACAACCTACCGGTAAATATGTAACGAGATAGTTGTCCCCCTATCAGTCATGGAGTACTAAACTGCTTTCTAGAGCAGGTTGGGCGGTAAAAACTAGCCTCTACTAACAAAAACAATGTCCAGTGAGATGTTATGATTATACCAATATCGGATCTGGTTCTTATGTAATTAAAAACTCTGAGCTTGTTAGGGGTAATTTATAATATTGTTGCCGATTAGTAGCCAATAATTGAAGCTATTCACAATGTCTCGTATGTTTACAGGCCAAGGAAAAGAATCGTCCATGGTATCTGGACATGTAAAACATGGGTAAGTGTCTTCTCTTGTTTATAATTTGGTATTGGTGTACTCACTAATATAATGAATAGAAATGATTTCTGAAAACTGGGAAAAAATGTTTACAAAAAAAAGCAGCATTCGTTATTCATTTAACTATTTGAGTTGTTGATTTGAAATCGTGGGTAGAAGCTAGTAGTTTATATACTAGTTAGGTGTAATATTTGAAAACGAAACTTTACGTTACGGTAATTCGAAAAGAGTGTAAGAAATAGATGCTTGAGTGTGTGTCTTTGATCATTGGGCTTTTTATAAAGAGAACAATTGATCTTAGTAAATAATAATAAAACTACACAGATCATCTTCCTCCATTTTATACATACTTTGGATTCATATAGCGTGAAATTCATACGTAGGCGATGTTTCTTTCTCAAAAATATAATGATATTGGTTTGTAACCTATTGTTGTTGTTGGTTTGGTTTGTAAACTATTACACTGCTAACTTATGAATGCACCAATGTACACCACTTGGTAGTCTTGTTGCACAGTTTATATTTACAGTGCTGCAGTAGTTTGATATTTAAAAAATGCAGGCTAGTGTTGAATGTTTTTTACTGTAATAGCTGTTTAAGTACGTAAGTGGTGCTCAAAATGTCTCTTTAATACATATTAAGTTCTTTATTTAAATTAAGTTTATTTGATTTAACCCTATTATTGAACCGGTTACCTTGGGCCCATTTAGTTCGCATTAATAAGTGTTTACTTTTTTAATAGGTTGTAATGATACATTTTAGTAGCTTCTTTAGTTGTATGTCCACCAGGGATGGAAAATGGTTAAATATACTTCATTCTGCAGATTTTGCTATTCATCACAGATGACTTGCATGTGGAAACTGCACCACACCTTCTGAACTTTTAGAATTACCAGTTATTATTAGGATTGTAAATTTAACAAAAAGAAAAATTGTGGTTCACGCCTTAAGTGATGCAAAACAGGGCAATTACAAGCAAATAATAGTTAACAAGCAGTAATTTGCCACAATTCCTTGGCAATCAGGAACTGCTGGGCGGAGCAGTTGTGCCTTGGCAGGTTAAAACACCATTAATAATGCATGCATATGAATCAAGTGTTGAACAGTCCTGATAGAGCTGGGTCTTATTTATGGGCTGCAGATTGATGGGCAGCACTAGAGATGACCTGCATCTCTTACATACTGAAATATTACATTTTGAGTAAACATTACAGAGGCACAAGGTTTAGTTTGGTTGGAACATAATCTTTTCGAGATGTATATGTATGTTTAGCTTATTTCGTTGAATACATTTTTAAGTATAGTTTTCATACAACACTGAAAACATATAACTTTGTACGTACAATCTTTAAAATTTTTTTTAAAATATAGATTTTTATTTTGGAAATTTATACAAATTGTAAGGCAAAAGAATTTATACAAATTAAGCACCCGAAATATTCTAATGATAAAAATCACTTGAATTGAAACATGATACAATGGTTTCCATTACCTTAGTTAATTTCTTATTTATATCCTCTTTATTTAAAATTAGTTTTCCAATTTTAACACTTTGGCAGCCTCTTTTAAAGCTTGCATTTGCTTGTTCATGTGTGCCTATGAAAATGTCAAGAAAAAGCAAGGTGTAATCCGACACAACAAAAGTAAAAACTGTTCTGATCAAATGTTATTGGCATCATACTGGGACATGAACCCAAGACACTGCCATCGTTTCCCAATCCGTCTTGCTACTGAATGAGCAACTAACTTAGCAAAAAACACCAACTCACAAACAGACAACAATTATAGTTTTTGTTGTTAACAATCACTTTGACTCTTCTATTGATACCGTACACATTTATTTGACTATTACCTACTATTTTATTTGACTATTTGACTATTACACTTTTATTTTAAATATACTTCTTTTCTTGTTATCCATTGATATCTTAGGTTAAAAAAAATACTTTGTAATGAATTTCACACACTTACAGTGATTAATTCTTTTGGTCTGTGTGTTTTAGTCAGGTGGAGACTCTGCCGGAAATCAAGCGTGAGTTGAAGGACCTCCGTTGTTGTGACGGAGACGCTGTCACTTTGGAGTGTCTGGTGTCGGCCACACCACTGCCGTCCGTGCGCTGGGAGAAAGACGGCAAGGTGGGTACACTAGGGTCTGAGATTATTGAAATCATTGCCAGTTGATGTGAAAAAGTATGTGACCATACTAAAGACATATGATAAAGGTATTTTTTCAGGCAGTTAGTTTCCGTTGAAGTTTTGTACTGCAATGAGAATTCGAAGACATAAACTTTTAAAAATTCTAAGAGGAAGGGAAAAGTTGATGGGAAACTTATGATGAGGGTATTAAAGAGTGTGCAGAGATAAATGTGCTGGACTCTAGGGAGGATATACAATTGAAGACTCCCAGATCCTGCAACATACCCAAACAATGGACGCTAGACTTAAAATAGTTATTATCCTTCCTTCATTCTCGCTCTCTGCAATATAGAAAAGATCAAAGATAAAGATTTTATAGACTGTGGAATCTTGATTTTCGGGAGATGACCGTGTCGTTGAACTGTTGACAATACTGGCCTAGGTAATATATTTGATACACTAATCCATCTTTATGGCAACCTACAACTCTGGTTGTGATGAGCATGTATTTTTATTAGTTCAATGATGATTTTTGTCTTCATCTCCTGAAGACCAAGTTTGACCGGGGGCTTTTACCTTGACCTTCTGCATATCACTCTGTTGGACGCTGGGTCCCTCTCTCTTGACAACTTCCTTCTTAGTCTTGCCATTCGTCTTAAAACTATTCTATCGATGTCCTACTCTTTAATAAATCCTAGGCCCTCTAACACTTCTTTTATTTTAGGGTTCTATTCCAAAGGCTTCCTTGGCTGTGACATTTTGTCTCCATTAAAGAACGTTATTTTATAATTGGCAAACACTGGTACCTAATATTTAAGCTCTGTTGCTTTTTTGATATCTATTAGTTTTGGCAGGGTAAACTATTTTCCTGAATCATTTGATTCAAGTACTTTTACATGATTTTGTGGTAAATAAGATAATTTTGATTGATATAGTTTATAGCTAGGAGGTTTTAAGTCTCGCCTTATAATCAAAAGGTCTACCAGTTTGTTCCTATCCTGAGAACAAAATTGTATGTTTTTGACGGCTTGAAGCTTTTGATTATTAGCCTTTTAATAAATGGTCCTAGCTAGATAAACAGTGGTCTTGGAGGATTTTATTGAGTAACAATAAAAGCGCACATGGAGTCTCACAACTCACCCATTCACTTATACTTCATTTATATAAATGAACATTCATTTATATAAATAAAACACCACTTACCTGTGTTTTTTTTTCTCCAGGGTGTTGCAGGGTAAAAAATTTTTGTCTCCATATCTTTTCAGTTGATACAAATGAAAAATATTAGAAAAAAAAACACATCTGATGAAACATGAAAAAAACAAAATAAAAATGCGTTTATTCATTAGATTTTTGGAAAAATTTTATAAAATATAAAACTGCCTTTAAAATTAGGTAGGAAGTTTTTTTATTGAATTTTAGAATTAAGTTCATAATGTTAATAACTTTTAAACAGTTGTCAGGAATGTAAATAATAGTTTAGTAATTTACAACTTAGTAGTAACGTTTCTATCATTAGATTACCATTGTAACATCTGTTGTACAAGTGTACAAGTACACAAAGGTGTTTGTGTTATGATGTAATGCTTACATTGTTTAGCTCTAGAAAAGTTTCAAAAAGTGTTGCTGTTTCCAGATTCTACCTTTAGGAGAAGACATAGAGGCTGAGTTAGACGGAGAAGTCGCTAGGCTCATTATAAAGAAGGTAACCAATCATAATATTTTGTAATTCAATATTTAGGGATGTATACAACTGCTCAGCCGGCCATAACATGCACGGTAACAGACTCGATCCAACTCTAGTAAAACTGTATCACAAATTTCAGATTATTTCATTGTCACTGACAGCATAATTAACGAAGGGTTTGAAAACATTATGGAACCTTCCTTGGTTAATACTTTGACTGCTACTAAAATATAAAATACCTTTAGGCAGACCTAAAGTATTTTGCTTTGAAATTTATATTGAATATCAATGCAGAATACTTGTTCGGAAAAAAAATATATATAAACATAAACTTAGCAGGAAGTGGTGTTATCGAATCTTGTGAAGTGTCGGTCACCCATAACCAAGTTATGAAGTTTTCACAATGAGGGATGCCGGTGTTCCATGATACAGTTAAAAGTTTCTAAATGTAGCAATAAGTTTTTTTTCTTTTTGGCGAGATATATTCTTTCACATTCAGTTAAGCTTGTTATTCTAACAAATATCCTTTAAAGTTTGTCAATCTGTTGCAGGTTTACCCTGAAGATGAGGGCCAGTACAGCTGTGTCGCTTATAACGACCTAGGACGAGCTGTTACAACCGCTTGTCTTGTGGTTGATGGTGAGTCACTATGTTAAGTGTTTCATGTTTGGTTTAAAGTTAAAAATTTTCCATTTTCAACAATTTTAAACTAAGTCAGTAAGTAGAAATGTCACTACTTTCTTCTTTGGTGTATAACATAATCTTGGACCCTGGTACAACCTAACCAATTGCCAATTGTTTATATTTTTCCTGAGTGGTTGGTTTATAATGGAGTGTTTTAGAACCACATATCTTGAATAAAAAATTGATATATTTCTCAGGTAAAGAACATTCTGCATACTAACAAATTCTCTCTAATTTAAGTTGAATGTTTTCAATATTTTAAATATTGTCTACAACTAATGTTTATTTTATTTCAAAGTGTTAACCTTAGTAAAGACTCTTTTAACTCCATTGATCATTTAGTGATTTAAGTATGCCTATTTATTTTTATAATATTTTCTGTCGCCTTATTTCAAAATAAAAAATTATTTGTCAAGTTGTGAACACACATACAATAAGGATGAAATAAAAGATGTTTGATTTGACATGTAACTCACAAAGTATTCCCCCATCCTGTTGACTGTGCAATGGTTTTTTAAATAGACTTTTCCCCTCTAGCTGTGCCCCACACATGTCAATTCTCAATCTACGGTGTTGTCTTTATACAGGAGAGACACTGCCTTAGAAACCTTGGTCATTGATCAGGTGCAATGGACTACCACACTGAAAACAATCAACCTAAAGCAATAGGATTTTCCAAGTATAGGTCGGCCGCTTAGAAAACGACCTCCTCCAGCATTGGTTTAGCATTAGCGCGCAGGTCGTTTTCTAAGCGGCCGAACTATAGTTCTCAGGTTGCTACATACGTCAAGTATAATGGCTTTCAACTCATACACTCACACGGATACTTTTAAATGCAGGTTATGATACCCTTGCATCCGATATATCAGCATTTAGAGTTAGAGTGGTTGTTTTGTTACATAATGACTGACAATCACTGTTGTTTCTAGTTCCTGAAGAGAAAGAGACACTACTGAGTCAGCAGCTGACACGTCCTCCGGGGTTGTTGTCTGCCAGGTCGACACCCCGCTCTACCCCACGCAACACTCCCTCCCCCGCCAGGAGTCTCTCACCTACCCCCGCCAGTGAGTACCAATAGAAGGTAGCTATAGGTAAATTGTTAGCTTTCTGAAATCTATTGACTATTGTTTACTGGAGTATACATCACATCCGTTTGGACAGGCTGTAGTTTTTATTCAAATAGAACATAGTTGACCTCTCATAGGGTGTGTTACTGCAAAAGTCTATATTTTAACCCTTAGTTGTATGGACCTTCTTTTATGTCACATCCAACTATTGTATAGAACTAAGTGTATAGAAGTTATAGTTTTTGTTTTTATTAAGTTGGAAAAGTAAAATTGCGTACATTTTACAAATATTTTCCACTGACCTAAAAATTCTTTTGAGTGTTATCTTAAATTTGGTGAACTTTAAAGCTCTCATTTGAGGCTGAAAGTTTATTTTTATTTACTTGAAAAAACCCACCTTCTCTTTTTTAAACTTTGATTCTGGTTTAAAATGTTAATGTATTGAAGGATACCGAGAGTTTTCTTCGCCGTCCTTCTCCAGACCCAAGCGAGTGAAGATGTCATCGCCCAAGTTCTACACAGTGCCTCACAACCGCATTGCTGAGGAAGGAGAGACAGTTAGGTTCCAGTGTTCTGTGGCGGGTCACCCTACTCCTTGGGCCAGTTGGGATAAGGTAACACATTACACACTCTCAGGAATAACATTTGGAATGATTGGTTTTTCTTCTTCACAACGTGCCAGGAATTTCCTAAAAATAAACTTGTAAATAAATATTTATTTAAAAAATTCTAATTCTTCAGATTATTTTTAGACAGATAAGTGTGTCTTTTTAAGTGGTATGGATCAAAGCAAATCTAAATTCATGTATTGAATCTGTTCTCAATCTTTAAAAAACAATTGCTCAATCTTTTGACAAATGAACTAACTTGTCCATATCTTGGTATATAAACGTTAAATAAATATATATTGCATGTTGGATGTTACACACATCAATGATTCGTATGTGCTTAGGATGGCCACATAGTGACCCCGTCGTCGCGTCTGAGCGTGACAGAACGTGATGACTTGCGGACGCTGGAGCTGAGGGAAGTTACGGTGGAAGACGCAGGGCTCTATAGAGTGACACTAGAGAACGAGATGGGCAGCATCGAGGCGACCGCTCGACTAGATATAATTGGTAAGTCAACCAGCAGGTTGTGGTTATTGGATAGACAGATAGTGTAATTGTTGGTTGGTTCTTTTTATTTTTGGCTGACAATCCATTTTCTGTTTATGTCAGTAATAAAAAAAAATGGTTTTATAGGCGCTATGTTTCTTTTTGTTTGATGACAGATTGTTTACAATGCTCAGGGTACCGGGAACCAAATTAAAATATTCATATATATTTTAATTTTTCTTCTAAAAAAATCTGTGTTCATTTTGATTTCAGTTCTTATTTGAGTATTTTAATAAAAGTTCTATTGGATCAGTTTAATAATTGTGTCCAGCTCTGAAGTAGTTTGGCTATCTCATATGATGTATCTTTGACTATTCATAGACTATAAGTAGACATCTCATTCCTATGTTTTAATTGTAGCCAATTTTAGAGTGAATATATGTGTTTGAATTGAGCTGTCAACAATGTGCTGATCTAAATTACTAATTTGATTTCGTTCCTTTATCCTGTATAAATCTAGAAACAAAAAGAGGTACTTAATGCATAAAAAATATGTCACATCAAATATCTAAATATCAACAACTGAGATAAACTAGGATTTTGACGATACCATACTCTGTTTGGCTCATTCATCTATGTTCTATATGCAATCGGTCACATCTTGCCCATAAATAGATGGGTGTAAGAGTCAATGGCTAAATATGATTAATGTTCTAATGTTCCTCCAAAGGTAATGCTGTTTACTCATTTGACAGGTCGCCAAGGGTCACGTACCAGGTCAGTACGAGCTTGGAGTGCTGTCAGGTCGTCGCCGACGTTTGGTCGTCGTCTGGTCGGCTCAGCTGCCAGGGTGGGAGGTACCTTCACACTCAACTGCGACGTTCATGCTTCCCCCTCCCCTGTAACTTCTTGGTACAGGTTAGTATCTTTTAAGACTTAGAAGCCCAACCAACTTGAGGAGGGGATATTGTTGACATTTTTCTCTCATTCAGATGTATTCCATTTTGTCTAGCTAACAATTTGCCTCAATCTTTCCTCTGCCAAGTCTAAATTTGATCCTTCCTTCGATAGGGGAAACCCGTCAAAATCGATGGTTCCTCTTGAGGTTTTACGCAAATTCAGCTAACTACTATACAAAATATGGGGTTTTGAGTAGGTGCAGGCCAGATTTAAAGGCGTGAGCACAGTTCCTTGAAGTGAGGTGTTCAATTTTATCTAATTGCTTGATCTAAAACAAATTATAGTAAGAAATAGTATAAAACAAAAACATATATCTTAACAGTCTTCTTATCAATAAGTAATACAGCCAGGATAGAAAAATACATCTAAACGGAACTGTACGTTCTGATATTTGCGTTGTATGCAACAAATTCCTGAATTTTGGAATTTAGTTAATGAACAGGTGATGTGTTAAAAAACATAATTATTTTCAATTTCAATAACAATTTACGGCTCTCTATGAAACAGGTCTTACAATTTGCGTGGATGTACAAAATATAGTAAGTAGTTTTTTATAGGCTACTGAGAATTAAATAATTTATTGAATACAGTGTCAGATTTAATTAAAATGCAAGCTACCTTCCATCTTGGATTAATTTCAAATAGCTGCTGAAGACTTATCTATCATCCAAAATATTTTTTAACACGTTCGCTACCGCAATGTACTAAATTTTTCATTCATATGGACCAGTAACGCACATATGCGATGGCCAGTTTCTACCCCTACTGCCATCATATTTATGCTATGGCTGGTCACATTAAAATAGACTGACGTTGCATAATGTTGTCGGTGTAACAATGTTATTACAGCTTATATCTTCGTAACGGTATATTTGAAGGCCCTGAACTCTCTGCAGTGGTCTACAGGGATGTCTATTGCACATGTGTGTCACTTGGTCTGTGGATATGATGAATAGTGACGTCATATGATAGTTGGCAAACTGTTTTTTACTTTGCTCTTTGCTGCATCACTGGCCCATAGTCTACATGTACTGTTAACCAAGTGACACCCATTCTATATGTAATATTACAATGTATATATCGGTTCTTTCGTGGCAATGACTGCAGCGTCGCATATATGTAGCTATTAGTTGCGAACAAGTTAAAAACCAAAGTAATTGTAATTTAATTTAATTATCTAGCGCACTGTGGGATCAGAAATTTTCTTTTTAGTTTTGTAGTTGTTTTCCATGGGAGTTGTTGGGGCCTAACGGCCATCTTGAACTTGTCTGCCATAAGAGCAATGTTAATTTCAAACAGCCGCTGAAGGGTTATTTACCATCTCAAAATATTTTTTCAAATACCAGAGTTAATTTAATTAATTTAATTTAAATACCTAGAGCACAATGGGATTATACATTTTCTTTGTAGTTTTGTAATTGTTTAATGAGTTAGCACCGCTCGGCTCCAAGGATTCTTAAAACGAAAGTTAAATTTTACTTCAGCTGTGTGTGTTATGTTTATGCTACAATGTAGTATCGATGCAAACTTAAAGAAAACTGTTTTAATTTTGACCGTAGTTAAAATTTTTCAATCAATTTAGCTTTTATACATACCAAGTTTTGATTAAGTAGTTTAAGTTAATTTTTGACCATCATTTATTCATGTTATCTTTCTATTATGAAGAATATTTTGAATATTGATTGTTTACCTGTTGGTACCGGTATATAAAATAATAAAATGATGGGAAAACTAGAAAGAAAGGGTCAGTATTTTCATGGATTAAAACAGTATTTTCATCCTTATGGAGCAGCGTGTATTCATGTTGAGGGTATTTTGTTGTGTACTTTTTGTTTCTTCTTAATTGATCTAATCATAAACAACATTTGTCTTCTGGTTTCATAATCAACCAGTGAAAACCAGCTTAAATTGTAAAATCTATCCTTAAATAATAAACATCAGTGCACTCAAAGGTCACCCATGTAACACATATTTACTATGTTTTAAGGTGTTTTAATATGATGAGATGGAGATGTCTATTTGCACCATTCAAAGTATATGATTACTCAGCCAATTGACATATTTACATTGTTCTACTCCCCCAGGAACGGAGAGATGTTGGTCAAGTCCTCCCGTGTCATACCTACCTGGGATGGACGGAGAGCCAAGCTGGAACTGCGTAGTTTGCAGCCTGAAGACGCAGGTATGTTGATGCTTATGGTATGTTCAAGCTAGGTATTAGAGACTATCTCTACTATGAAAGATAACTTTTTCTGTATCACAGAACTCTCTTCGCTCCGAAGGATAACTTTCTCTGAATTGCAGAACTCTTTCTACCAAAAGCTATACGTACAATAATTGACTAAATGCACATTTTTACTTATTTTTTCTAGCGTTTCTACATGACTCTGCAATGATGATTGTATGATTGTATAATGGAATTGGAATACTGTTCTTTTTTGTATTAACACGTTTGCTGTGGCCCACCAAATGGCGGGCGTAGCCCCGATGCGGCGCAGCGTTGAGCGGATCCGTTTGGCTTTCAAATATTTCGGTCTGACGAATAGCAAATGACGTACAGTGATGTTCTGCGTTACGACAAGAGTTGACGTAGTTTGCTGAAACACCCACAGATAGCAGCACTGTCTGGAACCTGCCGGTCTCATTGTATTGCCAATAGGAGGGAGAAAAAACGGGACAATAAGTTGATTTCTAAGCTTAACAGAAGGGGATTTTGTGGGGGAATTTACTATCAACTTACACCACAGTAAAGTACCGATTCCTAGCTAAACGCAGACATAAAAATACTTGTTCTTCCTGGTGTGATGCTGCTCAGAAATTGAATGGAATGTAGGCAGCTTTTTTGGCTACATTTTTTTAGGCTTTTTTTAAGGCTTTTTTCACACCGGCACTCACCCACCGGTGAGCGTTTAGCGTTGTAGAAAGGAACTAGAGCACTCACCAGTGAGTGGCCCACAGTGAACGTGTTAATAACATTTATTGTCTGTTGGATATTTCAAATTACTCATTCATTGAAAAGTTTTTTTTTTAATCTTTATTCAAAATCATATTATGCTTATTACAAAATAAACAAAAATTGAAAAATCATAAATAAAACATTTGTTTAATTTTGTATGAACGCAAATCTATCCTCTACAACAAAATTTGAAGTTAAGATATCATTTGTTTAATGTCTCCAGACACAGCCATTGTTGATTCTTAAAACACATTTAAAGCACCCTTCTTTGATAGCAACCAACAAATTTTCAAAATCTACTCTTTTCCTTCTCTCTGAAATTGTAAGCTTTCACCAACCCTCCCTTTTGAAAATGTCTTTTTAGGACTGTATTATTGTTGCATTACGAACATTTTGCAGTTTTATTGTCACACCCTTCATCGTGCTCCGATTGTCACTGTGTGGTGTTGCAGGAGTGTACACGTGTGTGGCAGAGAACGCTGTCGGCACAACTCAGTGTTCTGCAGAGCTTAGAGTACTGCAGACATCAGACCCTAGTGATGCAGATCTGCAGCCTCCAGTGTTCCTGCAGGGTCTGCCTCCAGAACAGACAGCAGCTGAAGGACAGCCCTTTGAGCTGCAAGTGCGACTTCAAGGTGAGCTGGCAGAAAACATACAAACTTGTAGTGTAACAAACGTGAATGGCAAACTCAGATGGAAGCAACCTATCTGGATGCACACAGGAGAGAGAAATTATAAAGTATCCAAAGACAAGAAAATTTTAAAAGTCAATGAAAGTGAAAGTTGATGCACAGGATTGTAAGAAGACGATACAGTTAGTTTGTGAAGAATAACTTCTTTCTCTAAATGCTCAGGGTAATAAGAGTAAGAGTAAAGGATGAAAAACCAACTTGTTACGAGCCATACAACATTCTATAATAAGTTTGGAATATAATTTTAAAGAAGAAATAAACAAACTCTGACACTGTATTTACAAACAAAATCAAAAGCAAGCAGTAACAATCGGTGCAATGGAGGCAAAATCTTCTAAAAACTTGTGGCTTGGTAATTCAGCTTCTAGACTAGAGAAGATTGGGATTACAGGAAAATGTGACTATGAGGCCAAAGGAAATAAAAGAAATATTTAACCTTTATGATTTGCCAAGAGCTTAAGGTTGATGGACTGAGTCAAGTGGTGATACAGAAAAAAAATTAAATACAATTTTAAAGTACCTAAGGATGTACCCCAAACCCTCACTTTGGAAAAAAGAAACAGCCACAGCTACTAAGATGTCCTAAGTGGTTTCAACCTCAGATGCTTCAATGAGTTGGTTGATCCACTTTAGGATCACAGGGCTCTACTGTATATATGTTGTATATTGTATATATATTGTATAATATTGTATTTCCTCCAAAAATATTATCTTATATGTGTTCCTCTAACATGTTTGTTCTCCCCCCTGGCAGGTAGCAGCCCCCTGGAGGTGGTCTGGGTGAAGGACGGTGTGGAGGTGCCAGATTGTCCTGACCTACGCCATGTCGACTACGGAGATGGCAGGTTCGGTCTCCGCATCGCCGATGTGTTTGTGGCCGATGGAGGGATATACAACTGTGAGGCTTTCAACAATCACGGAGACGCCATTACCTCGGGTCACCTCATAGTCAATGGTACGGTTGGTGTATTTGCTTTTAGAATGTATCTAGATTATTGTATTAAAAATGGGATAGTGTAAAAGTAATTATTAATTTCATTTAATATAATCATAATAGGCAATATTAAATGTTTACTGGTCATATTTGTGTAAACAAGTTTAAAAAATTTTCTATCTGATTATTGGTATTAGTAAACATTAAACAAGTTTCATAAATGAAAAAAATATAAACTATTAGTATTAGCACATTTGTTTATAAGAGCCCATCTATCTGTAACTTTTGATAACCTAAGATACTTAACAAATACTCGGTTACTCGTTACTCGTATATAAGCTTTTAAAAATATTTCTTTAACGAATAAAATGTAAGGCATTTTTTACACTAAATACCATACTTAGTTTCTAGATTTTATAATCAAATAATGTTGGGGGGCTTACCACAACAATTCTTAAATTTCTGAAAACTGCTGTTATGATGATACGTTAAACATAACTTAGCATGTTTTGATGTTTATTATAAATGTGTAACTGCTAATGTGATTTTTTTTTAATAGTAAGTAAATTATACGATTATTCTTGTAAAAATTGTAGAACCCCCACCACTACAAACCATAAAGTAGTTTATTACTTTCTAACTAAAGCTAATTAAGTAAAGAATTTCTCACTCCATAGAAAGATGTGATTACAAAATAGTTTGCCAGTGAATATACTGAATTTTCCTACTAACAATGTCCGTGGTAGGGGATTGAAATATTTCATTTGGCTAATTTCTAAATTTTCATTATGTAATGTAGTTTAAGTCATGCACAAAAAATATCACTTATAAGTATATCAAGATTTAATAGTATTGTCGTTTGTGCATTTCAAGCGATGTCGTTCTGACTTTTTTCTTTTTCTCGTTACCAGACCTGAGTGGTGGCGAGGGTGGTAGCAGTGAGCCGGAGATTGTATTCACCAAAACACCAAGCCCTGTGTTGGCAAGACTGAGAGGGAAGGCTAGTTTCTGTGCTCGGTTACAGAGCCGACCCTTGTCTCATACTTCTTTCAGTTGGACAGTTAACGGCCGAAGTGTCAACAGCGACGACAGGTTTACGGTTAGTTGACTTGTATTTAATGGTGTATAGTTTTATCGATCAATTATTTTTATTTAAATCACTTGCTTACCTGTGTAACTATAAATTTTCTAATGAAAATGATTTTAAAAATAATAGTTTAATAATAATTTTTAAATTATACCCCCCCCCCCTGCAGGAGTAGTGCTGCCGACTAAGTGAATTTATTTTAGCCTGATTGTATTTTGCACTTAAACATCTCCTAAAAAATGCCAGATTTTATTCTCTATTAAATAACATTAGTTTAACAATTACTTTGGTTTTCTGCTACAGGGGAAGGTGATGAAATGTTTTTTGTGTGAAATTTTGATAGTTTTGTATATGGAATCTAAATATAAAGTTTTTAAATCTGTTTAAAATATGTTCATACATTTCAAAGCCAGGAAGGTTTGAATTGGATCTCGACTTGGACTTGAAAACACCTCTCTTTCCAACTTAAACCTTTTTGGCTAAAAATGCTCTCATTGAATATTGGTTTTTTTTTTTTTTTTGTATCTCTCGTGCCAGAGTGGACTTCCTATTAACTTATTTTGACAGTCCGCATTTATTAATTTTAAAACTGTTTTTGTTTTGTTTACACCAGGTTACAACAGAGGATGACTGCAGTATGCTGCACGTAGGGGAGGTCCACACTTGTGACATGGGAGCTGTGACATGCACGGCCAGAGTGTGCTCCCCTGGAGTTCCTCCGACCACAGTGTCGTGCGACACCACGCTGGGGCTGGACCCGTCTCCAGGGGCCCCCGCTGAGCTGCTGCGGGGCCCCAGCGACACCACAGCCATGCGGGGCGACCGAGTGCTGCTCAAGGCGACGTACCGCGGTGATCCTGAACCTTCTGTGCGCTGGCTTAAGGCGGTAAGCAGACAGTGTTATACATCCCAATATTTTTTAGCTTCTCTAATTAACTTAAAAAAACGGTAACAGTTAATATTAATTTAATATCTATAGTGTTGTGACGTTGAAATCACTGAGTAATAAGTTTTTGCTTTTTTATTCATCGTGCAAATTAAATAAAATCAATCGTTATTTTTACAACACTTGGGTAAGGAATTAAGAAAGAAAGGATAGCTATACAACTAACTAGTACCCATAAAAAGAGTCCCAGATTTGAGAACACACAAAAGTTGATTTTATTTGAACTCTTTTCTGCTAAATTATTTTGACAGTCCGCATTTATTCACAACAAACATCACACAAACACATCACAACAAATTGGCTTGTTGGCAACATCATGATTAATTTGGATTGGCAACATAAGGATTAATTTGATCTTTGCCCTTTAAGAGGGTTTCTTCTAAAAGAAGTAGTAGAATGAATCGTTCTTTATTATGTTATTGCTGGGAACTTTCTTTCTTGGGTAGGCCTAAGTTAGTGTAGTGGGGAGCGAGCTGGTGTAGTGGTTAGAGCGTGGGACTTCAGTCCCTGAGGTCCCGGGTTCAATCCCCGCCAAGTCACCAATGGATTTTATCCAAGTGATAATGCCGCAACCCCAAGGTCTAGCCTGAAGTAATGTGAAAAACAATCCCAGGCTCGTGCCTAGCGTCCTAGGACAAAAAAAAGTTTGTGTAGTATCCATTCCATCTTCTTTAATTTGTTTCAGTTGAAGAAAATTATTTAAAACCAAAACATGATGTAATATGCAGTCTACTTGTCAATGTTGCATATTTAGCAAAGAGTTACATCCGGAACTGGTGTTGAACTCTTATATGTCCTTGGTAGATTTATATGAGGGTTATTTAATTGATTGGCAGTAAACACAAATCACTAATAATTTCTCTTTGGTAAATACATATTTGTTTTAAATTAGACTGTAGATGGATTACAAATGAACTTGTTCACTAACCTCCCTTTATGTTTGTGCCAGGGCCGAGAGCTGAGCTCCGAAGGTCGGGTGCAGATAACTTCAAGAGACGGGGTATCCTGTCTTACCATCTCCGCCATAGACGCAGATGACAGTGGCAAGTACGTCGTCAGCGTAGAGAACATTCATGGTGCAGACTGCCACTTCGCCTCTGTAGCCGTGGAGGGTGAGTGCATTCAAAACATCCCATCAGCATGGAGCGTGGTTACTAGTTAGAATGTGGGACTACAATCCTAGAGGATTTTATTGCATATATTATTCAATTGGATGAATTGCACATGCAGATGAAGTGTCAATATGATCTATAATAATTCAGCCTAATGCTGAATTCAGATTGACCAATACTTCTTTCAGAAACCAAATGATTTCTAGCGAGTCTCCACTCCATAGATACATGACCCAGTCATTCCTCAGTTAAATTTGCCCTGATTACAGTAGATAATACGATGCCAACAGTTGTTTTGAATGAGTTATTTTAAGGCGAGGATGAGTTGATAGTTGATTTAGTTGATAGTTTTGTTACTAACTACTACTAACTTAAGTTCTTCAGTAAGGACCTTTTATTAAAAGCATAATGATCACACCTAAGTCCTGTTTAGAAACATCAACAAGCTACTATTCATTACTAGTTCTTATTCCTTCTGTAAATGAAAATCACTCATTTGTGGGAGGTTTCATTTAACCTAACCTTTACTAAGTTAACTTAAAAATGAACTAAGTTCTCTTAGTCCTTTTGAAGTTATTTTAGCTATAAATTTACAATTTTAAACATGATAGCTTAGAAGATTTAATTACATACAATAAATATTGTATAAATATTTATTTATTTGTTGACTGTAGTTATATTTTTCTAACAACGATTGTTCAAACAAATTGAGTATCAGACTGAATGCCAAAGTAGATTAAGGATCTCTTGAAAATTTTCAAAACAAATAAGCAGAATTTATTGAGGGTGTTCACCATCCAACCAAACATCACTTTTAGACACATAACTCTTCGATGCTTGTGACTGACCTATGACTGCTGGAACTTTTTTGATACAGTAGTATGTATTCTTGACGACTATCGTTGCTGGTAATTGCACTGGAACCCTCTGAGTTCAGGCAGGGGTAAATACTCCAGTGTTACATTTCTGCTTGCATAGTTCCTTTGATGACTACTATACAGGCCCACTTTTATAAACGGGCAGACTGGGCATATGCCCAGGGGCGCCGGAGGTTTGGGGGCGCCCACCGGGTGCCCCTTAACCACTGCCCGCCCGCACTAGGAAAAAAGGGGGCACTGCTTTTGGGTTTGCCCAGGGCTCCACTGGCCCTTAACGCGGCCCTGCTACTATAGTCAGATGCAATGCTATTCCTTTCAAAAGTGTAAGTTTTCATTCTTCAACAGCTGCTTCTTTGAAGCAGTTTCATACAACTACAGTATAGCCTTCCCCTCTAAACTTTCAAACTTAAATTAATGCTCTACATCTACACCAACCAATCAATAAGTTATTTGTAAATTTTAAATTATTTGGTTTAAAGTATTTGCTTGAACTTGTTTATGCAGGTATATATCACATACTTAACTAGGTTTATTTATTAAATTGTACCTGCTTTGTAAGTAGGGTGAGAAACCCACCCTACACCAAGTGGGTTTTTTGTTCTATTTATGGCGACTGACTTCAAGGTTGGTATTTGTTTAACTTTTACTTAGCATTTCTAAATAGCATTTCCTTGACTTTTGACATCAGACTATAAAGGATTTCAAATACATACATCAAACACATTTTTCCTAAGCATCAAACAAGACCATTTATCTAAATGAATCGTTTTTGAATTGCAGAAAGTTCTTATTCTTGAGCTCAATTCACCTCAACACAATAATTCACCAACTATCCCAAAATCCTTGTGTTAGGTAGTTATTGGACTGGGACGGGTGGCGTCGTCCTGTAATCCAGCTACTAGGAGGTCACGAATTGTGGATATTTTTTAGGATGCACTGTGGATGCGATGCTCCTTGGTGTGGATTAACGTCCACACTAGTGAGTACTACGACTATCCGCAGTACTATCCTGATAATTAGACCAATTCGTAAATTACAAGGAAAAAATGTGGTTCGGATTCCACTATAAACTGTAGGTCCCTTAGTTGCCATTAGCTGTATGGGCTATTAATTACAGCTGTGTCTAAGGAACATGTCGGCCTTAGTCACTAACAAGACTACAAGATCGTGCCACTCATCCTACACTCATCCTTCACTCATATTTGGGTTAAACTATGCACATAGTGGCGTCCCCATCTTAAATAATTGATAATTGATAATTGGTTTCTGAGATTGTGATTATCAGCAGTATGATGCTGCTGCGCCAATCATGGATGAGATGGGTGATTGCTTTGTTGATGCTGTAGAAAGTATCTGGTCTGGTAAATGATTGTCCCTTTTCTACCACATTTTCTGAAAAAGTTTTTCCACCAACTCACACATATGGGCAAATAAAAATCCAGTAGAAAGCTTGCAGATAGTTGAAAAACAGCTTAGAGGGGTTGTTTTCGTGACCCTTAAGAAAATTGCTATGGTATTGTTGTTGCAAATGCCTTCTTATTTTCATACATCCTTGAACAGTTCATTGCTGCCTGATAATAGAGCTAGTTTTGTTATTAGACTTCTATTACACATCATGGCTGTATTTTCAGTTCAAAAATGAAATTTATGGCTTGAGTTGGTATCCATAGAAACCCAAAATATATAATTAATTTTGTATCATGCTAGATTTTGAATTAGCTTCTAGTTTAAAGAAAGCCACTTCTGAGTTTAGGGCCTTTAAATTAACCAAACCATATCTGATTTACTAGTTTTTTATAGATAGCTAGTGTAAAAAGATGATACATGGAATATTCTAATGCATTTTCCATTTTAGCATAGTTTATTCTTTTTGGAATATTAATATTCTAATACACCACATGATTCAATAGTTCTGGCTGGTTTATGCTCTGTTATATATGACCTATTTTTTTGTTTTCGTTGGATATTTAGATTTTTTGCTAGGAAAATATAAAACTCCATCAGAAGCTAAGCAATTTCTTGCTTAAATTTTTTGTTAAATATTATTGCTTGTACATTGAGTTTTCAATTTACCAAACATTCTATTGATGATTGTCCTATGAGTATCAAGAAGATTGTTTATACTGTACTACCAAAGATAACTCTCTTTCAAAAAATTAAAAATATCTTTATTAAAAATATGCCGATAGAAAAAATGAAAATGTGGTTTCACTCAAGTAAATCATATTTTATTAGTCAAACAATCTCAATGCAAATCAGACAACAATATTATATGTTTCAAGGTGCTATATTTTTTCACTGACATGCATGTATTTCCATGACACTTCTTAATTTCCTGTATTACAAACATCAAAATACTGCCATCAGATATTTTTATCCCCACTGCAGTAAATGTAGTCCAGCCTCCATGCCCATGTAGCATCTTGGTCAGGCAGAGGAATGTGGATGGAGAAGCAGAGATAATCAAATGATAAGTCCCTCTCTACCCCCCCCCCCCCCCCCCACTTTGTCGGAACACCTGTCTAGTGTCTAGGATGATTACTGGCTCCCTTCTCCAAGCAGTCAGTCACTAGTCACTAGTCAGTGGGAGTGATCAGTGAGTCTGTGAGTGAGCTCAGTGTCATACATTGTTCAGTGAACTGTTATAGCTTGTGCTTGAAACAGTAATGTGTTAGTCTGTGTAATTTATTTTTTGGATAATTTAACATGGGACCTCAACCTTGTTATATAGGTATTGAAGTGCAATATTCATTAATAAAATTTTACTTCCATTTTGTTTTAAACAAATTTATCACAAATAATTCAGATACAATGTCAAACTAGTTGTAGATAAAAATTATGTTATCGAACTTTTTCTTTTTCTTTAGTTCAGTGAAAGTTTACTTAGTGTGGCTATAATTTGTGGGTTTGTGTTTAGTATTGTATTTTTTTGTGATTCACATGTTTTTTTCCTTATTAATTTTTCCAAAAAAAGTATTTTGTTTATATTTTTCAATGTAAAAAATATTTTACAAGAAATAAATTAGCGTAATGAGTTCATATACCACAGCAAACCTGAGTCCAAGCAAATAATTTTCATTTTCCTGATCGCATTTGCACTAAATAAGTCCTAAAATATGTCGAATGTATTCCCTATTTAAAGTTTGCTGTTACAGGGATGGTAATAAAGTGAATTTAAAAAATAAAATGTTAATAGGTTAGTATGAAATAATTACATTATCCAAATCTGATCAATATACATGAAAGAAAGCATACTAGAGTTCGCCCCGTGGGGAAAAACTCAACAAAAAGTATATATTGTGCAAACTTCTCTATTTTAACCCCACGCTGTAAAAAAACACGTGATTGGAATTTATTCCATTTTTGTTTTGATTTTCTGTTTCGTCACCAACATGGCAACCCATAAAGCCCATGTTAATTTTTTGTAATTTAAAATTAATTTTTTGTGCTTATTTTGGAGCCTTTCTTTCATTTATAAAGGGATTAGACACATGTACTGTTAAATTTCTAACAGTATGCATAGATTTTTCCTGCGATACACAGGAGCTGAGAAAAAAGGTTTTCAATAAAAATGCTTCTATTTTTCCATTTTTCCAAAAGGTTTTCATGTGCAGACTTCTCTATTTTCACCCCACTCTGTAAATAAAACATGTGAATTTGTTTGGATTTTCTGTTAATATTTTGTTGTTATTTTTTCACCAACATGGCTACCCATAAGGCTCATGTAATTTTTTTAAATTCAAATTCATTTTTCGTGCTTATTTTAATTTATAAAGGGATTCACCACATCTACAGGAAAATATCTTTCATTTGGTACCAACCGGGTGTAATTCAATCTAGTAGAATGGCCAGGCTAGCTGTCATAAGTTTTGCAAAAGTTTTTTAATATATAAGATTCTCCTCAAGAATAACATGGACATTTACTAGTAGGTAGTTTTTAAATATATTTTTAGGAAACCATTAATTTTGTACAGTGACACTTCAATACCGGTATAATAATATTTTTAGTCCTACAAAAAATTGTTATGGGTAATAAAGAAAGAAATTGAATCATTTTATGTTTTGAGTGTAAAAAGGGACCCCTATCTAACACCTTCATAAAACCCAGGTCCCATACACTGA